GAGCTGAGCTATTTTTGCACTGATTGACCCCAAAATCTAATCATTCTGAGGAGAGACCATTCCCAGCTCACCTGTAAAATAACCTGTCGCAACTGACAGACACACAGATGAGACAGAGTTCTCTCTAATCGTAGCTAAATGTGGTCATTCTCCCAACGCTCAGCAACAGATTGCAAGAAAACTTGAGAAGGCTGCCTCTCATAGACACCTCCTCAGTGAAGGGAACAATTGGAAGTCGCACCAATCACACAATGCCTACCAGTCCAATGGAGGAGACTAAGCCTCAGGTCAAATTTAATTCACTCCGTCTCAAACAGCATCTGGTCAAGAACCCATGAAACTACCACAAGTCGTGGCAAACGGGCGCTAATCAACAATATCAGAGGTCTCAGAGAGATGAGCACCACCTTACCTGCAGCCACCAGCGTCAGCAAATACAACCATCAAGATGTTGAGTTGTGTTGCTGATACATTAACAGGGCAGTAAACCCCAATACAGCAGTTTTAATCAGTAGTGTGTCTAAACCTTCTAGACTAGACTTTGCTGTTTGCACCAGGTTTGATTCTGTACAGCACTAGATGCACAATTCAGCACAGTGCCTCACCAATCATCTTGGATCAGATTTAAAGATCAGTCCAGCATATTTTCTTTATGACAAACATTAGAAAATGATATTTTAGTTGGGGAAAAATGCGTATATCAATTTGAAAGAGCATGTGTGGGAATAATATGTCAGTCTGCCTCTTCTTTCTACACTCCTCATTCATTTACGTGCTTTCTCTCACACATCTTTCTCACTCCGTCATTCTATCAGATTTGAAATTGAATTTTCTATTTTCATTACTCTGTCATCGTATATCATCATTATCATTCCTCCCCTCTATTATCCCGCACGCGCCTCGTCTTTTTCCCTCCTTTACATAATACTGTACGAGATCTGTGCAGACACACACACAAACCTGAAAGATTGACTGGCCTCAGACTGGACTTTAAACACTCCAGAGATCATTTATATTTAACATTCAGGGACATGAATGAGCCACTGTGACTGTCGCTACACAGATGAGGATCGCCGTTGATATTTCTTGAGTTTTACTGTGACGTCCACCATAAAACGTAGTCCGAACCCCTTGAACTGAACTGAAAGTCCAAAACCATCCACACTTTGACTTCTAACAATGTCCTAATGTAGGAACTAACATTTAAGTGAGGTAGTTCCACACCTACAACTTCTATACTGAAACATTCATTTGTTAATCTATTGTAATGAAGCACATGCAAGTTTAAGCACTTCTTATTGCACTGTTGGGGGAGTTTTTAATATTTCCAGAGAGAGACAGAAGGGATGAGACGAGAGAGGAAATGAAGAAAGTGATTCAGAAGCAACTCAGGAGTCAGCTGCTGTAGTTAAATCTCGTAACTAACTAAAAGAAAGACACAAAATAACACAAAGCAGGGCTCAGAATGACCCTTTAAGGGGGCTGACTATAGATGATAGTCATCATGATTGGTCCGCAAACACTATCAGCAACGAGTCTGTTTTGTTTGACAAAAATCTACGCAGCATTTTCCTGTTAGTGGACCACAAACCAGTATAATAATAAATAATAATAAATTTTATTTAAAAGGCGCCTTTCTGGTCACTCAAGGACACCTTACAAAAGATAAAAGAAACAACAATAAAATACACAATATTACAGTATACAACAATAAAAAAATAAAAAAATAAATAAATAAAATTTTTAAAAATTTATTAAAGATCGCATGCTGCCACCTGGTGTTCCACTATGGAGGTGGCCAAGATGGAGGCGGCTAAAGTGGCTAAACAGCCCAAAGGGATGGACCACTAAACTCTGAGTGATGAAACTGAGATCTGTTAGCATTAGCTTCGCAGTGGCAGGACTAGGCCTGATAAAAACGATGCAACATAGATGGTTCAGCGTCATGTATAAACTATATCAAAGGTGTTGTATTTAAACTAGTGATGCACGATATTAAAATTTCTGGCCGATACCGATATCCGATATTAAGATTTCTGATATCGCCGATAACCAATATTACCAATGTTTATATTTAATTCTTGTTCACACTGAAAAATGGATATAAATAAGCACTGTGAGAACGTGAAAACTATTCAGAAGAAGCCCAAACCAAAGTAACCTACACAGTCTTCTTTATTACATAACAAAAGTAAAACATATTTAAACATATTTAACGTTCAAGTCCAGGACCATTTAAGTAAAAACATCTGTGAAATAGCAGCAATATCAAATGTAGAGACGAAGGCGCTAATGTTAGACAATCAGCGGGTTTTCACATCGGCTGTATTTGTTCTGATATATGGGAACAAACACTAGTATCAGCAGACACCGATGTGGCCGTCGATATATCGTGCATCCCTAATTTAAACACATTCTGAGATGATTCCAGTTGCTATTTTATTTCTTAGTTCTAATTATTCTTATTCTGGTGATTTTACTTTGGCGCTGTCTTAAAGTACTTTGGGGGAAGAACAAAACTCAGCCATGCAAAGCAGTTAGGCTGCTTTTAGTTCAGATGTCTTGCTCCTTTGAGAAGGGATGGCAGACCCTCTACATGCTTGTGCCCGGGGCCCTATAGTCTCTTATCCATCCCTGGTGTGCACCTTTTTAACTGGAAACCCTCCCTGTATCCATATGCAGCCCAGTGTCCACATAACGACACACTTTTATCAACAGACAAAATAGTGAAGTTTTCTAGGAGCCATTAAATTCATATAACGTGGTTGAGATGAGGATGGATTCAGCACAAGTCCCTCACTAGTGCAGAGTCTCTGGTCAGACAGTTATTGATTAGAAATGTATCACAAACACATTTCAAATAAACAAACATACCCTCATAATGTAAATCCAGTTTAGTTGTGTATAAATGTAATTGTGTAGAGGTTGGGTTTGCCACATGAGCTCAACAATCCCAATAAATGAGGTAAACACTTGTTTTGTTGTGTTGTGTGGATTTATATTGGCAGGTCTGATGTTTAAAATGCTGACTCAGGCATTATGCACTGGGCCAGGTTGGGAGGAGGAGAGTCGCAAAATATTTTTATGCTCAGAAGGTGGCCACACTGTTCCACTCTGTCATAGCTGCTGTGTTGTATTTGTAGTCAGCCGGCAAAGCCTTTTCTCGCTTCGCTGTTCTCTTCAGTATTTCCTTTACATCCCAGCAGCCCTCCCCTCCTTCATTCAAACGGGAACGGACATTATCTAATACTAATCAATGCTCTGCCACAAATCAGCTTAAGCAGCTATAATTATGCTGCAGAGTACACACAAGGCTCCAGAGGCTCTTTGTCTGCGGCTCGCGATAACTCACAAATTCACCACGACGTCAGTTTTAAACTGTTTAATCTAGAAATTCTCCAAATGAAGCCTCCTCCTTCAGAACTGTCCGGCGTATTCCTCCTGCTGCGACTGAATATCTCATCCTAATTAGACGTCCCTCTAATATTTTCTCACAGTCGGAAAATATGCTTCAAATTTAACGTTAGATTCATTCAGCAGCTCCACGGAAACCAAGTTAGAGCGAGTCAATAAAGACCTGCAGTGCAGTTCGTCTTTGCGATCGCAGTCGGAGCAGAGTCCTGCTGCAAGCTGTGGACGTCTGTTTTAAATGAGAGAAACAAGAGACGGAGGCAGGACACCACCTAAATATCACAGCAGTTTAGTTCTTACAGGAATATCAGGGGGTTAAATATACATTAAAGCTCATTTAGGTTAACTTTAAAGCACTTGTCATGCAGAATTGCTTCGCACAAGGATCAGATAGGAAGCAGAGACCAAACAGACAGCAACCCAGAATCTGTTAATCTACAAAGCACCGATCTAATTGATACTTTAAATCCATTTGTTACATCTTAGAACATCTAAATGCTGCAGCAGGATAAGGTGGAGCTTTATTATGTGCTGGAAGGCAGTTTATCTTGTAATAGTCCATCATGTTTAATAAGATTAAATCATCTTGTGTTTGTTTTTTTTTTTGCAAGATCTTAATCTTTAACTGTCAAACAACCATAAACAGCAAGTAGGTCAAAAGTAGAATATGTCATTTTGAAATACTGTATAAAGGTGTCAAAGAATAAAATACAGGAATAAACACGTGAGGGAGAAGTCCATCATGACTGCACTGAACACATATTAGCAGTTACTTCTCACCACAAGCAGGAGATTCATTTTAGGAAGAATAAGATCACGTCACTCATTTAACTGCACATCCACACTTTAAACATCACAGCAATAAGGCAGCGAGCCAGAGATCAGAAGTGCAGCAAGTTTAACTGACAATAAAGAAGCGATGCAACCCTGTGAGAAAACTCTGGATGAGCAAAAGTCCTGCACTGAATAATGTGCTGAAATCAGAAAAAATGTAAGCGTGAAAAGTAGAAAATGGACTTACAGGAAAGTCACAGATGTTGCTGATGCAATAACATGTTGTCGCTGATTTAAGAAAAAGTGTAATTTCCTGAGATAATGGTGAGTTTTGTACATGAACGCCTCATTTGAGCAGCGATACGAAGTCAGTGGAGCAAAAAAAGTAGCAGAATTTCTCAATGAACTGCAGCAAAGTGTGCAGCAGGTGTGTAACAGGAATCTGGAGCATGCATTGATTATTTTACCACACAGACACTTAAGGTGCTTATATGACAATATCACATGGATTAAAACTGCTACCAAATGTTTTTGAGTGAGAGTATTACAGGAATACTGATGATTTGTGATCACTGAATGACCAAGTAAAGTAAAAGATGCAGAATAAATAAAACCAGCAGCTGCATCTCATCCCTAATGGGAACATCATAGGGAGGAAATTCCACATTTCCACTATGACACACCTGGATAGTGTAAGTGACCGTGTGAGAGATAAAACCGTCTTATAAAGTGAGAATGACATGTAAGAAATGGGAGCTACAGCAGCCCAGACACGCTGTGCGCCAGACTGTCACATCCACATCCAGCCCTCCTACCTGTCTGCGCTGAGCGCCGTGAGCGTGAACACGGACACGCCGACCGAGGTGAGCTGGATGACCGGGATGAGTTTGCACGCCGCCTCGCCGAACACCCACTCCTCGGAGAAGTAGCGGAAAGCGTCCACGGGCACGCAGGTGACCAGCAGCAGCAGGTCTCCCGCCGCCAGGCTGGAGATGAAGATGTTGGGGACGCTCCGCATGGCGCTGTTGGTGATGAAGATCTTCACCAAGGTGATGTTGCCCAGCAGACCCACGGTGATGATCAGGATGTACACCGAGGTCATGACGCAGCGCACGACGAAGTGGACCGTCTCCCCGCCGTCAGAGGACGCCCACCAGCCCGGCTCCTCGGTGGAGTTGGGGCTGAAAACCTCGGGGTCTCCGGACTGAGCCGGGTTCAAGTTAGAGAGAAACTCGTCATCCATCCTTGCGCGGCGTGGGAATATCCACAGAGGAGCGCTCCGGAGAGGAGAGGAGAGAACGGGATGGGAGCTTGTGCGCTGCCGGGCGCGCAATGGGATGCTCCGCGCGTAAAGACGCAGTGTCAGCGTGGGGCTTCAGTCCAAGCGAGGGAAAAGTTTTTCTTAAAAGAGTTCATCTGACAACTGTTTATCTGAGTGACTGGGAGACGAGTGAGAGGCGACTGATGCGCGTAAAGAGGAGGAGGCACTTCTTTGACACTGGTAACACAGACGCTCCCTCTTTCTATGAGCGTGAGTGGCTGAGAGAGAGAGACAGAGAGAGAGAGAGAGCGCAGGAGAGCAGAGAAGAGGGGGTTGGGGGGAACTTGAAGAAGAATCGAGCTTTACAGATTGCAAAGATGACCAAAAATATGTGGACAGCATGGCACATTCATACATCGCAGCCGTCCACATAGTTTTGGGCACATAGTGTTGAGGTGACACAGAATGAAGCTAAGAAGATGGAAACAAGGAAGGGAAACAGAGGGAGGATGCTCTTTATAGCCAAAAGTTTGTGGACAGTTTGTGCGTTGGTTATACTGAACTAAAGAATATGCTTGCTGCTACGCAAACCAAAGCGGGCCAGCCTGCAGAAGTCGTCGATCACGTGTCCTGATCTAGAGCATCTGCCGGAGCGCCTTTACTCGGGAAAATCCCTCTCATCCTCCTCAGACAATTTTAAAATCCAGCAAGATCTTCTAGCAGTCAAATCCAGCCTCAAAGTGGCGCAAGTCCCCAAATCCAGGGTCCTCAGCGCCTGTTACCTGCCGCACAGCTTCCGGGTTCAAGCCCGCTGGCCCCGCCCACAAGATTTACGTCACAGCTCTCGCCCCTTGTGTGGCCCTTTTCCTCCACCTTCATCTGGCAGGTAATGATAGCAACCCAGTTAGATTCTGTTTAACTCATCTGAATCCAGCTGTGGAGGAAAAGTCTTGATGCTCATGTTGGAAGATCAGTTATGATCAGAATCATGATTCAAGGCCATCATAGGATTTTGCAATGACAGTGTTTAAGGTAGCTTTTGGAGCTTATACATAAAACTCAAATTCGTCTGGCTCAGTAAAGTTGATCATCAGTTTATCAGCTCCTCCTGAACAGAGGCCGAATGCACCAACAATCCCAGTCCTCTGGGCCAAGGCTCCAGACTGGGACCAAATTTCAGAAAGCATGCAAATTTAAGTGGTCGCATTTGTGGAAGTAAGTCATAAAGCCATGTTGCTGTTGCTTTAAACTAGCATGGGGAGCTACTACACACTCCCAGTGGCATCCATCGAAATCACATTTTGTTAGGTTGTGTTGTGACATATGGACAGACAAAAAAAAATAAATAAATAAAAAATCATTGGTTCTTTCTGACGCTGCCGTCTTAGCATGTTTTGGGGCTCTTCTTAATAACTAATGTTTTGCAGATGTATGGCCAAGGATCTTCCATCCTTGCCTGCTAGCTTCCAGCCTACCACTCTGTTATGATTTTTTCCCCTTCCTCAGGAAGATAAATGGCAAAGGAAACAATCGTTGTGTTTTGTGACCACAAAGCATCAGTCATACTTGTAAGACTGCTCCTCATTCACATCGGTGCTCCAGCATTTCTCTCTGCAGCCTGCTGTGACAACATTTGACCAAACCAACTCAGTCCAACATTTCATTTCATTTAAGAAATTTAGACCCCACAGTTTCAAACTTTCTTGGGAAATGATATTTTTACCTCCTCTTCAGTGAACCAAAGAAGTTTATTGAGAAGGCAACGATAATCTATTACTACTACGATTACACTCTCTTGGTGCAAAGTCAGCTCTCACCTAAGGTCTGGGTGTTTAGTCTAGACGTAGATACCATCTTAGAATGGTCCTTCTCAAGGCTTAGAATGCTTCTTGCAGGAAGTTCAGTACACCGAGAAATTGTTTTCCATGCATGACCTCACTATGTCTGTCTTCTCTTAAGATCAGCATCATAAGTGGACAAAAGCGTTCATTGACGTGAGGCTTTCAAAGTTGATTCATGTTATAAGATGCTCCGATCTTCATTGCCAGCACTCATATGCTTCTGTTCCTTCTCTTCGATGATTCGGTCCTTGGAATGGTTAACCAATGAGAGTGGAGATCAGCCTCTGCACCATGGACTCCAGGAAGGCCCTGCCCAGGCCTTGGTTTGCTCACCTCCATCTCCCATGCCAACGCTGTGGTCTCTCCTCTAAGCTATGCAACCTATTCCTTTGCTCATCCTCTGAACATTTTCTCCACCTGAATGACACTAATATTGCTCAAAGGCCACACATAGTTCAGATTATACATGATCTGTGATAACTACAAATCATTGGGGCACCATTTCATGTAAGTTTATGAAGGTTGCGTATGTCCGCAGAAATTTAAAGGATATGTGTCATGCTCGACGCCGCTCAGAGTCTCTTATCCCACATAGCAGACTTCCTTCAGGTGGTGGAGGAGAGAAGAGGGCTGTTCACCCTGAAATAAGTTACTTGAAATATTGAGCTGAAAACAAACCTGCTTCCATTGTTCTAAATGCGTCTCATATATCATTTTTATAACCACATGTTGCGTGTTTGACATCAGTGCAAGGTGTAAAATCTATAATAATTGCCTCAAGCTGAAGCTATTTTATCAGAGGGAGGCACGACCCATTTGGATCATTGAAAGGGAGGCAAAAAAAAAATGTTGTCAAAACGATTAAATATTTTAGTTTTGGTTTTGTTGAATATTTTCCCTGATTGTGTGCTTAAGTCTCATTGTTTTCCAGCAAGTGGTAGCTGATTTCTCATCAAGCCACTGAACGTCACTCGCTCAGATACCAAACAGCAGATAGACACGAATCGTAATGCTCATTGGGTTTTCCATATATAGTACTGTAGAGCGTAGTATTTAAACTTGTTTGGGAAATTTGCAATAAAAATTTAATTTCTCTACTGAACAGCACTTTATCTCAGCAGCTGTTCTTTTAAATGTACAATGCACTTGCTTCTCTTTGATTTTTTTAATGTTTTTTATCCCAGTGTTTCTCAGTTCCATTTCTTGATTCAGCTTTCCTCCATCCAGCCATGCATGTGCTTGCCGTGTCCATCTTCTTTGCCTTCTTTTCTTTCTTCTTGTTGCCACCAACCCTCATTCCACTACCATTTCATCATCCACTCCTCCTTCGATTTACACAACTGTAAAATGCAGAGGAGTGGGATTTGCAACTTGGCCTTGTTTGAGTCCTGGTGATAATTAGCATTGGAGAGTTTTTTTCCTTTCTTTCATGAGTTCTGTATTGACCATCATTTTTCAGCAAATGTCTCAAAACCTGAAATATCCACAAGGATTGGCATCATTGTGATAAATTACACAGATAAAATGGTCTCCACCTGATATCAAACGGTGTGATTTCTCCATTTGATTTCCACACAAAAAGGGCCGAGATGCATTTTCAAAACCTTGTCGGTGATTGGGGTTAAAAAGCTGCAGAGGAACAACAAAAGAGATTGAACGCACATTCCAGGAGTCCACAAGGGAGTGTGACAATCCACAGGGTGGGATAAAATACATTCACGGGCTTATCTTCTACTAACACCTGCATGTTTTCTATGTCACAAACCCAGCAGGTTGTTTTGTGTGGACTAATTCAGCGTATCATTAAATGTCCAGGTTTCCCTCACGTTCTAAACACTATCGGAGTGCTTCTAATCCTGCCTGTCTCCGTCGCTATCAGGCAAAACCACACAAACGAACTGTTTTGTGTCCAGACGTGTTGAAGCTCATTATCTCTTCCAGTTTTAAACATATGGTTTTTGTTAGTTTCATGCATTTTTAAACTCTCTCCTGTCTGTGATCATCATACTTAGTTGTTTCACAGAGAACATGAATGAGCTTAATGAGTAACAACGAAGAAACAGTGGTAGGTTCATGGATAACGTCAACAGCCCTTGGGTCGGTCCGTTTCTCAGAAGTGCTTTCGAATGACTAAAATCTGATTTGAATGAAAAGAAGCGCACGGATGAATCGCCTGCTAGTCTGACGGAGTCATCTATTAAGCTCTGGCTGATTACTCAATCATGATTCATGAGTTCTTTCAGTTTGACTTTCTCCTTACTTCCATTTTTTTTCTGACTTTTGTCCCAGTACTGTGAGGTTAGAGATGAAGGCTGCCATCTGGAGCTCACCATTCTGCTGCTTTAATAAGACAAACTGACTTCAAAGTCCACTTCAACAGGCTGAGTGTCTCTCTGTCTGTGCCCACCAACGCCACAGATGGCAGAGTCAGAGGTGGCACGACACGAGTTAGAAGCTGATCTGATGTTCTTTGCTTTAAAAGACCCAATCTGTCATTTCTGATCAATGGTGAGCTAATTAATAAAGTGGGAGTAATGAGAAATCTCTGCTTTTTGGTCTGATTTCAGTCAACGGTCCTGTTATGCTGCTGAACTAACTTTTAACACCAGAACGTTTGGATGATGCAGCTTTAGTCCAGCGTTTGTCTCTGTATTGACACCCGACATTCAGTGATGGCATGAGTTTGTTAGTAGCAGTCGAAGGTTTGAGCACACCCACTACTCAAGCCTCTAGTTTTTCTGTTTGCTACAACAAACCAAAATGGGTTTTAAATGATTGATTATTTTCCTCCTTCTGCTGTAAAACCCTTAATCATCCAACTGGCTTCATGAGGCTGTCAGCTGGAGATTTACAGCAGTCTTAAAAGTAGTTTTCACATATGCACTGGTTGGCTGCTTTTCCTTCACTCTGCTCATCCCAGATCACCTCAGCTGGGTGTAGGCAGGTGATTGTGGAGGCTGTGTCCTTACAGAGTCCTTACAGAGCCTGAAGGTGGGTTTTGGTTTAGCGTCTTGCTGACAAACCAATGATGGTCCCACTGGGTGTCTCTGCAGGATGTTGTGGTGGACAGGCTAGTTAAGTGCTGCCTTGGATTCTGAGAAAATGTCCAACAGTGTCAGCAGCAAAGCCCCCTTCACCGGA